TATATTAAAGTTTTTCTTCATTACCCATTCAAGCCGTCTCCAACCATTATTAGTCTCAAAGTGGGTTCCTCGTCATCGAGTCTGCAGTATTAAGTTATCACCTTTATAATAGTCACACAAAGTGCGTGTACATCAATTAATTTTTTGTGTGTGTGGCATACTCAAATCCACCAATTAAAGAACATAACATCGAAAAACGGCATATTGTTCAATTGTATTTAATCATTTAAAACACAAATATAATTATTCCGTAACACAAAACACGTTTTTTTTCAGTACAAAAAATCATTATTGTTGCATCATTCCTTTGAACTGAAAAGAGAGAGTGTCTATTTTTACGTCCTGGTGATTTTTCTTTAACATATATTCGTTAAATTAAAAACACAAATATAATTATTCCGTAACACAAAACACGTTTTTTTTCAGTACAAAAAATCATTATTGTTGCATCATTCCTTTGAACTGAAATGAGGGAGTGTCTATTTTTACGTCCTGGTGATTTTTCTTTAACATATATATATTCGTTAAACTAAAAAAACATGAGGGTTAAAATCACTTATAAAATTTTTGTACACAATTACAGGTATTTACATATATTATTGATCTAATGTTTCACATTTATCTAATTATATCTGTACATTGTCACCATCAACTTATTTGAAGACGTCATTTTCTGCTGGAGTGTCCAAATTCCAATACGATATCTTTGTCTTCTCCAGTTTTTGGCTTTTCAGTTACAGTGTTTTTGGGGGTACCTTTTCATTTTCTGCTGGAGTGTCCAAATTCTAATACGATATCTTTGTCTACTCCAGTTTTTGGCTTTTCAGTTACAGTGTTTTTGGGGGTACATTTTCATTTTCTGCTGGAGTGTCCAAATTCCAATACGATATCTTTGTCTACTCCTATCAGTTCAAAACTAGGAACGGCTAGCGCAGAGAGCTGTTGAGTATCTTTGCGCAAATACTCGAAACAAACAGACTGCTTTAGAAGGAAGTTCGTAAGTAGAATGTATTTGAGATTTAAAAACTGTGTTTGCTGAGACTGTATCAAAATGATATACTAAAAACAGGGTTGATATAGTGATCATTACAGTAAGTACACAGCGGAAGAAAAGTAAAAAACCACTCAGACTGTTCGTTAATAAACCTAGCGTATAATGTGTGAAGCCGAAACAGTTCGTCGTCGTTAGTTTTAATAAATAGCGTTCTAAATATCAACGTTTTAAGATTGTTTCAGTATGTATAATCTGCTTATCTGTAATTTAGTAAGAGCTTTCTTGGAAGTATTTGCTGAATTTTACCGCCAGTTTTATCGACAATAACTTCGTCTTCCGTTTATTGTGTATTTTTCTTTGCAGAAAATGAAAAGGTACCCCCAAAAACACTGTAACTGAAAAGCCAAAAACTTTGGTCTCGATTTTGTGGGTTTTGGTATTGTCTAATGAAGTCAAATAAAGTATTTTTGGCTGCATCTATAATTGGGTGTACTGTTTGTTCTTGACTCGTTACCGTCCAAAAACAAAAAATGGCGCTCCGCACTCTGGAGCCACGAGTATGCGTTATAATGATGATGGCCAGATATTCTGCTATTTAGTCAAATAATAGTTTCTCAAAACATTGGGGTGGGGCTGTTGACTTCCCTCTAGTCACGGTTTCTTTGTATCACCCTATTTATAACAATTGCCAAACAACACTTTACACCAGTACTACCATACATAACCCAACTATTTGTGAACTCCATAATTCACAAGACACAAATACACAGGGCTAAGAAGCAAATAAATCATCCATATCCAGACCATATAATACCAGAAATCTGATAAAATTCACGTGGCCCTGAAAAGGATACTAAAAAATAGGAAAGAAATCCATCATTAGCGCGCCAATTACTACATTCAAGTTAAAATGAACAATAGTTCAGGAGGAAGGAAGAGGTCTAAGTAGAACATGATTCTCCCAGATCCATAGAAAAATCCCGATCCAGACAGACAGAATGCAAACACTGGGCAAGCAGATCCACAGTTCCGCAAGTAAACCACTGGGCCCCGCTCGACCCTCATCATAATAGAAAGCCAATATTAATTCATGTTGGGATTTGTATATTTACATGTGGGTATATTCATTTCATACATATGTCACATTATTCTTAAAGTCTAGAACAAAAATACAGCAAATTCATGTTGAGATTTGTATATCGGTGCGTGTCGTGGAGACATCTCGTGTGCACATGACTCGTGCCGCTTATCCAGATAGAGATCTTTCTTGATTATGTTAAGTACTGTTGCCTGGGCCACGTGAACTACTTTTTGCTACTAACCTTTGTGTTCGTGGATTCTCACCTGTTACAAGACGCCGCACTTTGCTTACCACAGCTGGGGCACAACTTGTTGTATGTCTTTTTCTGGATGTCCTTGTAAAGTCGATCTATATACCTTTGTTTTTCCAATGCCAATAAGTACAAAGGATATCCCCGTCATAGAAGTTCTAAATCACCGATCTGAACACATTTTTATGTTTGTTTGTTTGCTTGTTTATAGTTACACAATGGGCTATTTGTGCTGTGCTCACCACAGCTTTATTATCTGAGTGCATAAATATATTACGTCAAAGAGGCTGTTATATACCGCTTCCCATAAACGATCACTTGCAACGTCAAAATGTAGTTCTGATACATTGAGTTCCACCAGACTTTATATCGGCTGTGAATGTCATATGACATGCTGATTTGCATATTCAAAATCGTTTAATATAACGTACACAACTCTCTGTATGTATGAATTAAATATAAATATATATATAATTCCGGCACGAATTAGCTGCAATATATTTTCGACTTTAAAACGAAAGGTATATCTGTATATATTAGAAACACATGTACATTTAAAAATCTGAACATGAATTAGTTGTATTTTTATATTATTGGCTTTAAGAATACGTAATATATATATATATATATTTTGTATATCTGTGCGTGGATGTTTCTAAATCATGTTGAGATTTGTATATTAGTGTGTGGATGTTTCTAAATCATGTTGAGATTTATATATATATATTGGTGTGCGTACGTTAGTAATCCTCTCAACATGTTTTTGAAACATCCACACACACATATACAAATTTCAACATGAATTATAGTTGTATTTTGATTTTAAGAGGCAAGTGATATATTTATGAATTAGAAATACAACCACAGATAACAAACCCCAATATCAGCTAATCGTATGTTTAATCTTCACTTTAAGAAGCACGTGATGCGTATTACACAAGTACTGTTACAAGTACATATCAACATGCGGTTTTGTGTGTGTGTGATACATGCTAAACGATACTCTAAATTCTTATCTTCCACACTAATTGAAAATGGCATGTGTTGACCTTCGGCATCTTGAGTAAATAATAAGGTATCGTATATGCGATAATACTTGTTCGACACGCCTTGAATATACGGCTTTATCTTCGCGCCAAAACCTTAAATTCATTCATAAAAATGCTCATTTTCTCCCCCTCACTCTCAAAGTGAAATCTTTCCCTGGTGTTGTTTTTGCCTATAGTTAGGTGCTAGGATCAAACTATCTTTCTATAAAGACAAGTTATGAGAAGGATCGAAAACTGACAAGTTTCGACCAATAACTGAAAGATATACATACATCATTCACTGTATCTGTCTTCTTCAATGACCAACTTATTCTTATATCATTCGGTAACTGGGTCGTCTCCACATTGCATCATACTGAGTACATTTTATATTTCTGCCTGTTACTAACCAAACGAAATAACTTATTTTCTGTGCAGAATACATAAGGAACTCCTGTAATAATTAGCGTGAGTAATTGCAATACTGGTGGTTCCCATTTGTGTGTGTGATTCATGTGCTACTAGAGACCCTGTAAACAACAAAATCATGGGCCAACACGCAGTTTGATGTATGATTAGTATGGAAAAGTATTTGGAAAGGCCGACGGGTCTTATATGGACTCCATCGGTAATTGTAATAATGTTAAGATGCGTGATTATCACGGAAGTACTAAAGTAAGCTATCCCTAATGTCGTTGCTACTTGTTTATTATATTCGAATCAAGTTAAGCACAAAATACAACGAATCAGCTTATGTTTGGTAACAAACAGCATGTGTTAACATAAATAAAACTGGTTTGAAAAAAACTCCTTAAACTACTGAGCGAAACCTGTACAAAATATTTGTTTCAAGTCATCATTACAGAAATATATATACATGTCTCTCTTTATATACATACATATATCAGTTCCGTTCATTTGTTTTAAGAGTACGGTATTTATATATATAACACCTACTAGAATTGTAAACAATTCCATTTTATCACAAACCTAATTATATCTTTGCTGTTGGAAGCTGTAAAGGCTCTAATGCAGTTTAAATGGGGGAAAAAGTGCATAATCTGTGAACTTTTTTGACGTATACAAAAATAACTGTAAAGTTATTAAAAAAACATTAACATCTTATACATGCTAAACAAATGTTAACTAATTTATTTTCCATTATTAATTCGCGTGTTTCTTTCAGAGTCTACAACACAAATAATGGAAATAACTTTGTTAGAACGAAGTTCTAAATCTTGTAATGCACATATATTTACGAATCTATTTCGTTTTCAAGTATTTCATTTATGTTAAAGACGAAAGAAGCCAATATTTATTAAGAATAAAAATTAGAAAGAATTAAAAATGGCTAAACTGTTTATAAGAGAATATAAAAACGCCACCATGTTTCACAACGTTGACATGGTAACCTGATATTTCATGTTCTCTGCTTTAAATGTCTGTAATTATTCTTTTACGATATTAGTGCGTGCAGTATTTCTATTTTATTTATTTACTAATTATAAATTTGATCCTATAGAAAAATTTCCGCGTGTTGGCTATTTGGAAGAGCTTTGGATTTCGAAGCTGGCGAGCTGGGTTCAAATCAGTGCGATACCACAAAATATTCCGCGCACTTAAGCTGTGGGTGCGTTGTAAGAGTATCTGTCAATCCCTCAGCACGTGTGATGGGTGCTACTAACTGGCTGCCTTCACTTTGGCCAGTAGTTCAAAATTAGGGACAGCGGCAAACAGCCTTTGTAGATTTGCCACAACTACAAAAAATACTACAGAAAACAACGACATTATCTTTGGTTATAGAGTGATAACAAGAGTTTAATTTATTGGTGTGAGACATGTTTAATGTCATCCTCTACAACTCTAGAAAACGCAAAAAATACCCCTTTATTTATATTATTTTTAACATATGGAATATTTTGAA